CGGCTGCGAGGTGGTCCCCTGGAGCGAGTGGTCGCCCTGCTCGGTCTCCTGCGGCGGGCCTGGCGAGCGGGTGCGCGTGAGGACGTTCATGCGCGAGCCCGACTCCCCGGACCGCTGCGCTGGCGTCAAGCGGCGGGACACGGTGACCTGTCTGCCGCCGCGCAGCGACTGCCGCCTGGCGCGCAGCGAGGCGATCGCCGTGTGCAAGGAGCCGCTAGACGTGGGCAGCTGCCGCCTGAACCTGGAGCGCTGGTACTACTCGGAGCAGGACGGCCACTGCGTGCGCTTCCTCTACGGCGGCTGCCGGGGCAACCGGAACAACTTTGAGACCGCCAAGGAGTGCGAGGAGACCTGCGAGAGCCTCTCGGGCCTGTCTGGCCGCTCGCGCTCCTACGGTAGTGAGCTGGGCACCTCGTACATGGGTCCGGCTGGCGGCAGCGACTCAAGCATGTACGGAATGCCGCAGTACACGCCGAACGGCGGATTCGACTCGGAGCTGAGTCGCCACTCGGAGTTGTTCAGCTCGTCACAAGTTATCAACCCTCTGCTGGATCGCGGTGTACGCAGCCACTCGGGCCACTGTGCCGTGGAGCCGTGGGGCGCCTGGAGTCCGTGCTCGGCCTCGTGTGGCAGAGGTACTCAAGTGCGTCGGCGTCGGCCGCGCTACCCGGGCCGAGCCGGCTCAGCGGGCTGCGGCCGGCGCCGGCTGGAGCGACACAGGCACTGCCGCCACCTGCCGCCCTGCTGAGGGGGTCCTAGCAACCCTGCTGAGGATAGTGGCCATCCCTGCTGAGGGACCGGTTCCCTGCCGAAGGTCGGTCATCCCTGCTGAGGCTTTGTTAGTGGTTACCCCTGCAGTGAGCCTAAGTGGTCGGCGGTGACTTGGACCCGTGGCTGGAGGGGACAACGAATGCCCCCGAGCGGCTGGGATGTTTCAGTCGAGAAGTTTATCGGACGGTGTTTGCTTTCATCAGTCAGCGATGTGCGGTGCGCAATGGCGCTCTGGTGAAGTGTTCCCATTGATACATGTCTGATGAGATGAGAGCTGAGATCACCTCTTACCGAGAAGGAGGAAGCACGCGACATTGTCAGAGATTGTGACGGAGTGGCGCACGGCAGTAGGCTTATGACATCCCTGCCGTTTTCTGGCTGGGTCGCCGTTGTTTATTTGATCGAGGTCGACTCGCTCGCTGCACCAGACTGTGGGTCGCTGGTGTAGCATAGAGTCGTACTTGTCACGGACGCTTCTGGTGCTCGGTACGTGCGGTTCTGGAGCTCGTCACTGTTCTAGTCGAGTAGTGTTACGTAATATTGCTGTTAGCGGCAGGGCAGCTGTGCCCCTCGGCAGCGCGCAGCCCAGGTTGGGCCGCTCTGCAGTTCGGTCGAGCTGCACTACCCCCGGTGCGGAGGTGTTTTGTTGGTTATAAATTATAGCCCCTCGAGGGTAGACGGTTAGTACTCGGAGCTGTTTGTTGGATAAAGCTCCGTCGGCTTCCCCTGTGGATTTCTAGATCTGCCAGGTGGAAGAAAATACTGACCGTACTTGAGGAATGTTTTATCATTCTAAGTGGAGACGCTAGTTTCCATTTCTTTTCTCTCAAGTCAGTTTATTGTGATCAGATGTGTGAATCTCATCCAATAAATGGTCGAAAGCTTTTGAATAAATTGCATTTGACTTTCTGGATTATCCCATTTATCCCCATAACTCATACATGCCCAATCAATATTGATGTTGACACGGCGATGGGTATAGGGTTCTCGCTGGCGGCGACTGCGGCGGACAAAAAGCAATTGACTCGCTGAGTAAACGTCTCCCCATGTGTGCTCGAGCTGCTCGGTTACCGACTCACCCCGCTCCCTTCCTCTTTCCCTCTGTCTTTCCCACTCTTCCTCACTCCTCGTTCCCTCTTTCCCTCCTCGCTATCAATGATGATGCGGGCTGCCTCCCTTCCATCCGGTCAGGCGGCAGATAGTTATCAGCCATCCATGCTTGGATCAAATCAGACATAAGTGATCCTCGATAGCGATTCCGGTCCGCTGCGCGGTTTCACTGGCCCGTTGACCAGTACCATCACTCACGGTCGTGGCGGCCTGTCAGCGTGCACGGTGCACTATATTCTGTGTACCGTGCACGGGACGGAGATTGGCGTGCGCTGCACTCGAGCGCTCTCCACGGGGTGCCCTCGGGGTGGAGTACGGCGGCTGCCGGAAATGAAGGCTCAGAGGCCTGGAGAAAGTGGTGGCTGTCTGTGCCCAGAGTGTGTCTTATGATACCCTTCACTGGCCGCTCAGAGAGCGCTCGCTGACCGCTAACTGACCGCTGACCGTCCCCTTTACCGAACGCTCACAGGCCGCTTACTGACAGCTCACTGATAGCTCACCGACTACTCACCGGCCTCACACTATCAGTATCCGCTCACCTTTTGGTCGGGGTTTTCCTTGCAAACCCACCCACAGCGTCAGATGGCTGGCCGCGCTCCAGCTATCTTCTCTCCCCAGTCTGGCCGGTCGGCCGGATCCTCCCGCTCCCATGCCCCTCCTCGAGGGATTGCGGCGCCGCTCTGTTTGCTTTCCGATGCGCCTCCGGACCATCGGTCATCGGCTAATAGATTGGCGCCGCGGGCGCGTCAACAGGACGTGCTCGCCTGACCCGGGTGGACGCCGGAGGCCGCGCACGATCCGGCCCTGTCCGGCGCTGTCCGATACTGTCCGTACGACTGTCTACGACTGTCCGGCACCATCGCATTGCTATATCAGGCCCTGTCCGGGACTTTTTGACTCTGCAACGCTGCCCTCTCCGGCGCTGTCCAATATTGACCGATCTGAGACTGTCCTTCCTAACCTAACTATGTATTTGGTTAGGTTGAGTCGTCTGGTAACCTGGCTAGCCTAACCATTGTCCGGGTATGTATGGGTATAACCAACCGTGGTATGACTGATGATCGATCAGTGAATCACCATAAATCAGTTTTTGAAATTGGAATATCGTCGGTGCATGTTGCAATGCACATTGACAATGTCTGTCGTATTGAAGCTATTGGACGTTTTCACCGGTCCATATTTATGCCTTTACAGATCTGTTTCCGGGTTTAGAGATGTAAAGCCTCAGTAGATCAATGACCAGCCTATATCCCGGCAGCCTCATCTTCATCTCAAATCCTGTAGGAGTACTGCAAATTTCAATTTCACTTGACCTGTATAATCTAATCACTCTCCGATTCTAATAACGTAAGAAGATTGGAGTAGCACCACCTACTCCCAATAATAACATTTTGCGCCGTTTCTGTGCAATATGATGCCATACAGCGCCTTAATTTCCATAATCCTGGCGTTCTTTGATGCTCCCGGCGTGCCTCTGACACTATATTGGCGTCGCTGATATTATCTATGGCTGTATCGCCGCCGGCATTATTGGACGGAGCGTGTCGTCATCGACAGGTGATGGCTATGAGGTCCGTCCGACAGGAGCATTGAGGCTACGAGCAAAGCGCAGAAACTCATTCGCTGGCAAATGCCTTGTTTTGATATAATATTGAAGCATATTGAGACGTATGATTGGCCATTGAAGTGTGTAGCTACGGACGGATAACAAAATATAAGAATTATTTCGTCGTTAATTATGGCATTGACAATTCGCTGACAAGCTGAAACAACTCTACGAGGACAAAATGAAACCGAACTACAATGTTCATTGAAGTCATCAACCCTAGCTGTGGATAGTCGCTACTCACCATCGGGAAGCAGAGCAGCAGACCCTGCAACGCTGTCATCCCAGTCGCCTTGGAGGGATCCTTCGGCAGAGCAGAGCAACTGGTGAACGGGCGGGCACTGGTCGACTATCTGCACAACTCTGGCAAAACCAACGTCGTCGGTGGTAAACCAACGACAGTTTTATGACTAGTTGGGTCCAAGACTGACGGCCTTACTGAATGACTACCGACTACTGACTGACTAGAATTAGTGTCTTCCTGTGTGTCCGATCGCTAGCCTCCACTGAGGACCACTGACCGGAGTGAGGCGCCGCCGGGTCAGTCCGCCGCTCCGCCTTTCTCCCTGCCCCCAGGGCCGATCAACCTCCCCCGCCCATCCCCACCTGAGCCACTGCACGCAGCAGACAGCGACATATATCTTCCATCCGCCCGCGGCAGATAAATGTCGGATATCCACAGTCGCTTGGGAGGCTCAAAAACGTTAACATGCCATCGGTGTTGCCTTAGAAAGGGACAGTGCGTGTATTTGCGTGTCTAATGCGCACCTTTTTATCAAAGCAAAGTCCGTGAGTTGACAACGGTTTGGTAGCGATTCGCATGCATACAGATCAGGGGATCGGTGCTTCTGCGTTTGATTTCACTTTTGATTTCATAACCGACTTTGTTAAAGTGAACTTCACGTTCTTAGCCGAGTGCTAGTACCTGATGCTGGATGAAACACGCAATGAGAGATACACTGCGCAATAGCATGGCAGTTAGCATTTAGCATTTTAAGCAGTTTGCCCCTAGCCATCATCACGTCTGTCGCTGATTTGCATTCTGTTCAGTCAGCTGTTATAGTTATGTCCCCGTCCTAAATACCGTATACCTCAGCTTCTCCCGCACCATGCATCTCCGCGGTAGTCCGCTGCCAGCTCAGCCGTCCGTAGCCGTTCTCTCTGTTTCCTCAGCGGTCCGGCTCTGATAACCTATAACCGTTCTATGTCTCTGTCCCCCAGCGGTCCGGCGCCCCCGGCCGGCACGGTCAGCCACCTGTAACCGTTGTCTGTAACCTTTGTCCCCCTGCGTCCCCCAGCGGTCTGGCTCCTCCGGCCGGCGCGACCAGCCACCTTATTAACCGTTGTGCCCTCTCCGTGTCCCTCAGTGACCACACCTGTAACCGTTGTCCCCCTCTGCTCTCTCAGCGGTCCGGCGCCCCCGGCCGGCACGATCAGCCACCTGTAACCGTTGTCCCCCTCTGTGTCCCTCAGTGAACACACCTGTAACCGTTGTCCCCCTCTGCTCCCTCAGCGGTCCGGCGCCTCCGGCCGGCACCGTCAGCCACCTGCTCACAGTGAACGACATGTCGACGGGCCGGCAGTTCAGCATGCCCGCCTCGGCGACCACCACCGTCGGCCAGATTAAGACGGACGTGGCGGCGCTGACCGAGTGGCCGGTCAGCCAGCAGAGCTGGACCGGCTGGCCAGAGTACGCCACGGACGCGGTGAGTGGGGGTGGGCATACGGAGGCTGGGCGCTCTGCTATGACTTGGTGTAAGGTGGCCGCTGAATTTCTTTCTGCTCAATAGTAAATATTTCGTGTTAATTCTTTCCCTTGGAATGGCGCAAACATTATTATCAACTTTCCCAACCTCTCCTTATTTTGACAAGCCAGTTCAGCTTGTGAGCCCTGGGATGAAATGGCTCTCTGTTTTCGATGAGACGGTCCATGTTTATATTGCAATACACTTTCCCGTTATGTTCACAGCCGCGAATGGGGTGATAAGCTGTGTGAAACGATCTTATCTGCCACCCGGCTGCGGAATCGGAGGCTGTTATGTGTTATTACTATTCGTGACGTGTTTTCAAACGACCACTGATGGCAGTTTCATTTATTTCTAGCGCCCATGTTGTTCAGAGATATAATTTCCATCCGCTCTAGGCGGGGTTTTGTGTCGCAGATGCCCGTGCTAGGGAATTTAAAGCTGAAAATATTGGCACACAGTTGTGTACCTGCTACGTTCAATTGCACTATACAGATGTGATTTTGAACAGCTAAATTCTTCCAATCTAAGAGATCTTGTTGTAGCAGCATTTGGTAAATTCGGTTTTGCTATCTGACCTTGGTTAAATTATTTAGAAACATCCAGTTAGAGGATAGTTTTTTCCCACATAATATTACGTTTTCTAGATATCGATAGTTTTGATATACCTACCTATCAACTATCCAGTATTGGCATGAGTCAAAATTCTTCACCCCTAGGAGCCTCAACAGGAAGAGCCACATCAGTCAAGAATGAGACCAATGTTTATTTTGGCGATACTGAGGCGTAGGGCGTCATTTCCTGGAATCCGTACAGCTGACATCAACTGTCTGTTCCTCGGCCAGATCTTGAAATCTGAGCCCGTGCCATCCTGTGAACGTGACTAAAGACCATTAGTGATTATGGCGACGCGACTCAAGTTACCACGTTTTTAGGAGTCGACCGTGGTTTCAACAAAGGCACACAGTTACGGCTCACGGTTTCTGGTCACTGAAGGAAACGACACCGTGCGGATACACATTACTCAGGCCGTATCAAGTTTGTGCTTCCATTCTAGCTGACATATTACCATTGTGGTTTTGGCGCTATTTATATATAAGTAGATCTTTCCATTTGCTATGCCGTGCAGTCGCTCGTTTGTCCACCGGTCAGCTCGGTGGTTTTCCAGCACATTAGCCGATGGAAGTCAGTGATTCCTCTGAGCGACCATCCCATTACGGCGACATCGGCGGCGCATGGGCCACCGATGGTCTCAGGCACGGAACATGAGGCGTTCTGCCGCGAGTGGGCCGTGGGAGGGGACGCTGAGGGCGGTATGGACGGGGCGGGGTCACGGCCATCACAGTGGTATCAAGCGCACCACCGCCTCTGGGCTATGATTATGGGGCGCAAAGGACGGGATGGGCGTCACTAGTTGACGGGATCGTTATCGTGGTCTGTTCTACTTGGGCATCGAGCGTACCTAAAGTCTAATCTGTATCTGTGCTCTCTTGTGTTTTGACCGGAGTTTTAGCCATCCCTCCAGTAATTCTGACGAAGTAAAAAAATACATCTGTTCGGTTGAGTCGGCTCATTGCGTCTTTAGTGTCCCATTCAGAGCTGCTCCACATCACTGGATTTCGTGGTACCGGGGCATCAGTTCCCAAGCACTGTTGATGTTAGCTGTCTGTTTTTTTTCTCTCTCTCTCTCTCTTCCAGATGCAAAAATCTGAGCCCCACTGGCAAAATGTTCATGTGACTAGTATGCCTTCAGTGGGCCATATGGCTCGTATTACTGCGTTCTAGGGAGTTGACTGTGTTTCCGCGAATAACACGCTGACTCGATTCTGAGTAGAGGACCGTTGAAAACATCCGGCCTCCGCAGCATGGTACGAGTAGGTACCCCGTATGTGCGCTGTATACCAACGGTGGCGTATGTGTTTTCTGCCGCTCATGACCGCCAGTGCTCCTACTCCCACCCACTCGCCGCCAGTCGCCAATCGCGGTCTATCCCGACTCTGCCATCCGTCGCTCTCTTTCCGTCGCCTCCGGGCGCCGGCGGACAAGGGGCAGGCACTGATTACCACCCGCAGCACGCGGCCTATCTCGGTCCGGCATCGGCCCGCTGCAGCCGCCAGCCAGTAGCCGCCGCTAACCTTTTACCATCCGTCGACATTTCTCGATCTCTACAAGGAGCGGGTTTTCAATGAACGACGGTGGCTGTTTCGTGCTTTGAGGGAGCTTTGCTTTTTATGATGTGCAAGTGTCAGCCGTTTTGATATAAACGGGCATCATTTTCTTTTTGATATTTATGCAACAGGGTTTCGTTAAACGATTGAAGAAACGAAAGGCAGAGACTAGAACTTTTACATCATAGGGCCCGACAGGAGCCTGACGATGTCAAGCGTCTGTGACACGCCCGTTCCCTCTAACTCGCCCGTTTCCTTGTTTCAGAGTACGCTGGCCGACACAGGGATTGGGACGACACACACGCTGTCAGTGACACGACTCCCCCCGCCCGGGTCAGCTGCAACAGCGTCATCGGTAAGGAACGACTGGGTGATGGAAGAGCCAGTGCTGGGGGCTCGGTCTAGGCCATCCAGACAATGAGATGGCACTGAACTGAGAGTGTGAGTTTATGCAGTCTACCTTTAGATGAAGTGACTTGTTTTCAGCGATTCTTAGTCTGGCGTAGATAGCAGAAAATGGCATCATCATGTACCGTTACGGGAACTCCTGCTTTCTTCTCTTCTGTCGTTTGCCGTCGTAGTTCGTCCGCCGCTCGGTTAGTGCGATGCTGTCCGTTTTTGGTTTTAACCAGTGCCGCTAATGGTGACGTTTCCGGCGACCGTCTGTCTCGATTCTCACGGAATTCGGCCAGAGCTGCAATAACATTCACAAATGGAGCCCTTTGAAACTCGGTCGCTCACTGCAAAATAGGATTTGTCTAGGATTTCGTTTAGCTGTTTCCATTCTGCCCACTTCAGTTTGAGTTTGATTGGACCATCGCCATGTCTGAAGTGAAAATATGTGTACATGTCGCCGATGGTAAGCAGAACGTTTTCTTTTAACTTTAGATGGTGGTTATTAGGAGTAATATGTCGTTGAAGTGCGGCTAGTGCTTTATGCCAACCGTTGCAAACAATTTTAAGTCCGTTTGCTAAATGTACGATCACGTCAGTTGCTAAGATGGATGGACAACTCGGCGATTTGCGCCCAATGAATTGAGATCATGCCCTCACCATTGTCATGGCGTCCCTGTGAACTCCGTGCGTGCCCATAGCGATCCCGTGCTTTACCGATCGCGATGTGTAATGTAGGTATGTGTCGAGACGAGAGTGTGTGATTCCGTTTTATGTACAGTCCGTCAGCCCCGTTCCTGTTTGGTCTGTCAGTCCGGTGCCGTTTGGTCTGTGAGTCCGGTACCGTTTGTCCCGTCAGTATGGTCCCGTTTGGTCCGTCAGGCCCGGTCTCGTGCGGTGGACTGCGGCGCGGGGCTTCAATCGATCTGCCGTAACCGGAGACACGTTCGGCCGCAGTCGCTCCCGCGCAGAGAGGCGCATACGACCACATTGTCACACGGATGGCCCACCAAACACTACCACACACGGCCGATCTAAACAGATACACGGTCACAAGGACACCGAGAGCTTGATCCATTGTCATCAAGCATAAATATTGCCGGACCCCAAATGCCGTCAAACAAACAATTGTAGAACCCTAGTGCCACCAATGCTGTCAAATCTAAGAGAGAACCTTTAATTGCTAATATCATAACTGCTGCCAAACTACCTCTCAACCTTATACCGGTATTTTTTTTTTTTTGCACGTTGTTACCGTTGTGTTGGATGACATCCATTGGGTGGATTTCTTTGCACTTTTACGACTATGTAGTTAATTCCAGCGATGTTTTTGTCTCGATATTTTTATCCTTACAGTTGTTACATCTTTTGTTGGGCCGAGTACGGCCTTTGGATAGCTTTGTGCTACACCGAATCACGAACGATTACCGTCAACTGGCTGCTGTCTGTGCCGTTTACTCCCGTCATGCTAACCCCGTGTGACGTCCGCTGGTGTTCGAGGGTCTGGTTTGACGGTCTGTGAAGCCCTAGCTGCCGGTGCGAGCTCTGTTATGACTCACCGGTACGCAGATATTTCGACGGCGCCCGATAATCCTCCCCGTGCGAGGGGCGCTGGTCAATACTGACGCGGACCCACCGGGGAACGGGTGATGGGTGCTCTCGGACCGGTGCTTTGACGGCAGTTTTGATTATAGAAAACGACTGATTGTGCCGGTCACTGTGGCAAGTCCGCCAGATAAAGGGGCCCTGAGCTGTGAGCGTGAAGCCTGCTATACTAATTTCCAGCTTCTGAACGGAGTGGTTGTGGATTGATCACTTTTCATGATTAATCGTGCATATCCTTGTCACTGCTTCATTTGTTGTCTGTTATCTAGGTCCCCTCAACACACCAGACGCCGAAAACTCGCATAGCGGCTCTCCAACTTATGATCATCATGTATCTACTGCAACTGACACGTCTTGTGGAAAGTTTCTGAGATTTGAAACTTTCGTAGCCAACTTTCAAGCGAACATGTCAATCAGCCTTATGAATTGTCTCCCATGTCTTGCCCATCGTAAGCTTGTCCGCCCGGCTCTTGCCAGACCGATGGCTGCCCCGTTCAGTCCCGTTTTTACCGCCGCCTGTGGAGGTAGCAGCTGGCGCGGCTGGCCCGCCGGTCCGCCGGACGCTGATCGCTCACCGCCCGTCCCCAGGCGCCGCCAACAGTGGATGTTACCAGCGACACGTCGTCCGTCGAGTACCAGGATGCCGCCGAGGCGTTCGACGACGCCGACGATGTGCTGTTTGTTCAGGAGGACCGGCCCAAACGTGTCCCGCTAGGTGAGTGTTCGGGGGAAGGAAGGAGAAATGTGGATATAGTGGAAAGCCTGATATGCAAGAACTTTAGTATAGTGAATGGAAAAGGCTTCCTACCTAATGTACCTATTGTAGATAGAGCACGATTAGTGAGGGCGTACCATCCCATAGGTAAGATTTGTGTTTGTAGTATTTTCTTAAGTGACTAATTCTACCAAAAATGGGAGTTGAGTTGAACTTGTGACAACTCAGGAAATTGCTCAACGCGGACGTCCCGCGTTGCTTATCATCTTTGTTTCAAATCATGCACCGCCTCACCTATATCCCGGCTGCGCCGACTGTATCGGTCGGAAGGCTGTCTCTGACCGCCCTTCCCACTCCCTTTGCAGTACCCGAGGACACTGAGGACGAGCTGGCGGGCGTGCTACACTTCACCGAGCAGTTCGAGGTGCGGTACGGCCCGTGCCACCCGAGCTTCTACCAGGGCACGCTGGCAGAGGCGGCCGAGGAGGCGTGCACTAAACCAGTCAACGAGGTGAGTCGGATGGGAGCGGGGGCAGGGAATGGGATGAGAAGACGCTGAGGGTAACGATGGGACATGATGGGTCTGATACACGCTGCTGTCGGGCTCGATTTTTTCCTGCTTTCCTGTCAATCTCTTATTACACGACAAGCGCAGCATTGTCGTAAGAGTGAAGGCTTAAACTGGTCGTGCGCTTAATTTTATTTTAGAGGACCCAGGTCTTCGCGGCCTTCTATCTATCCCGCGTCTCGCGTTCGTTGTCTCCCCTCAGCCGGTGTCGGCTGTGCGCCCATTCTGACGACTGTCCCCCGTTCCCTCAGCGGCGGATGTTGGCCATCTACCTGCACCACGACGGAAGCGTGCTCTCCAACGTGTTCTGCTCGCAGCTGCTGTGCTCAGAGTCGATCGTCTCCTACCTGACCAGCAACTTCATCGTCTGGGGCTGGGACATCACATTCTCCAGCAATCAGAACAAGTGAGTGCGGTAGTGACTGTGTAGACGGTGGGAGCTGTAATTTGTCCCCTTACGTTGTTGCTTTGATTGGATTGAATCATAGACCTCAGTATTCACAGGTCTGAATCTGTTTAGATTTCAGCATCGGTTTTATAACACAAATTTTTATCGTATAGGTGTTTAGCATATAGCAGTAATAGGTAAAGTGGTTACTAATTTGAGATTCGTATTCCTGTTGATGGTAAGTTTGCATGGCGTTCCTAGCACAAGCTTATCTGACGCTTTGGAATTGGATTGGTAGTAAGTTGGTATCCCTTCCCACAGGCACACTCACACCCTCCGTCTGACGCCCACTCTCCCGTTCCCTCCAGATTCCTGGACCGCGTGACGGCGCAGTTCGGCGCTCGGACGCGCGAGGCGCTGCTCATGTCGATGGACCGGGAGCGGCTGCCGCTGCTGCTGCTGCTGATGCGCAGTCGCAGCTCCACCGAGGTCCTGAGCGCCGTGCACGGCAACACGTCCGTAGACGAGCTGATGGGAACGCTCATCCACACACACGATATGTTCGGCCAGCAAATGGCCATCGAGGCGCGCGAGGAGCAGGAGCGGCGCGCGCGGGAGAACATGATGCAGGAGCAGGACCGCGCCTACCAGGAGTCACTGCTGGCTGACAGGTATGTGGTCCGCTCGGTGGAGCGGAAAGGCGTGTTACGTGCGCAGCCATGTGCAACGGCTACAGTCTCTTGTTTCCATTTCTGGTCATTCATTTGATGGGGAGCAAACGTAGAGCCCAGCATTGCATCAGTGAGTTTAGTTGACATGATACAGTACTTGTCGCTGGTCTCAAATGGTTTGGAATGCTGCCTTTGTCCCCAGTGACCCGTGCACTGGATGTGACGCTGTCCTTTTTTTGCAGAGCGAAAGAGGAGGCCCGACGAGCCGAGCGGGAAGAGCAGGAGAAAATCGAAACTGCGGAACGGAAGGAACGAGAGCGGCAGGAGAGCATCAAACAGGCTGAAGAGGCCATGAGACAGGTTCGTAGAGGCGCGCGCAATACTTCGTTTATGTGTTTGATGCCTGTTCAATGCCGTTTCCAGTCCAATGCAAGATGGGCTCCCTCACAATCCAAAGTGTCACTGGTAAAGTGTCGCTGGATACAAAGCGTATGTGAGGCGTGGGTTTGAGTTCTGACTTCTGACTGACCGAGGCTTTGTAGCTTTTAGTTTCTGCTGTGTCGCTGTCCGACTGCGCTGACGAATAAGTCTGCGACTTTACTTGTGGCATGCTTTTGTCGGTAGGATGAAGGCCTACCAGGCTGTGAGGGAGCTGCTCGACTCTGATTTATCGTACTGATTCTGATGCGTGGCACTGCAGTCACTGAATACTGAATCTGACATGTCCCTCCGTTCCCAGGCTGTTCGTGAGTCTCTCGAGTCTGACCTGCCGCCGGAGCCGCCGGAGAAGTGTGACCAGCCCATCACCACCATCCGGATACGGTCCCCGGACGGCGCCAGTTTCTGCCGACGCTTCCTCGCCTCCGACCGGCTCCTGGTAGGACTGATACCACACGGGGCTGGGGCGGTAGGACAGGCCCCGGCCCTGGCATGGCTGGATACAACACGGGACTGGGATGTCTGACAGGGTCCTGGTATGATGTCGGGCGCGGTACTCTGGATGTCTGGATGTCGGTAGCTCTGGAAAGCTTATCAGTCTTGGATGGAGTTAAAAAAAAAAATACGGAAACTTGTAGGATAAGCATGGGGCTCGATTTGTGACGTTTCTTCAATTATCTGACGGTGGCCTAAGCCTTGTTTCACGTTAGGTTTGTTTCGCGGTAATTACATTTCATTTGCCTGCCTTCTCATTTCCCTCCTGCCTTCCCAGGAGTGTGTTCTCCGTGGATCTATCTGTCTGACCGTGTGCGCTCCGTGCCGGCAGGATCTGCTGAACTACGTCGTTGTCCAGGGGTTCCCGATGGACCAGTATAAGCTCATCAGCAGTTGGCCCCGCAGGGATGTGAGTACCGATCGACGGAGGCTGCTGCGTGCTGGCTGGCTGTTCGATTTATAGGAAGCCGAATGAAATATATGCAGTTGAATTAGGTGTATGTTTTATCTTCTTCTATCGCTACATTATCTATCGCTACATGCTTGAATGGACGTCGATGAGCACTGAAGTCTGACGTCTTAAAATCGCAATTATTGCTCTCAACTAACCGTTTCACCACCAGATGGCTCGTGCATGCCATCTGGTGCACACGTTGCCTAGCAACGTGTCATCGGTTCGACTTCTCCTTACGTATTCTCGTTTCGTCGAAGTGTTTCTAAGGATCTCAGTCGTTTCGCCTGCTTTGGTAATCGTTACGCCTTTGTCAGTAAATGCCCACGCCCTGGTGGATTGTCTTGTGCCGTTTGTGATTGGCCCATCCCCTAGGGCATTCCCTGTGTTTGACCAGTGGATCACTGTGCCCGTGATCGATCCAATCTTAATGAAGGGTTTTGCAGGTAGGGGGGCCCGGGGGGAGGGGGACGCGTGTGTGGTTATTTCATTCCTACGATAAAGAACGCAAAACGGTTCGGGGTGTATTGATCTGTTGATTGACGCCATCTGTGCTCTCCCGCCCGGCAGGTATCCAGTCTAGACAATTCGGCGTCGCTGGAGGCGCTCAAGCTGTGCCCTCAAGAGACGCTCATGTTAGAAGAAAGGTGACTGTCGGCAGCGTGAGCCGACAGCCTATGTATCCCCTCCCCTCCCCTTGCCGCCCTCAGCACACACACACAGACACAGAGACACACATACAGAGACACGGAGGTCGAGGGCACGCGGCGGTATTGCGCGCTGAACTGTACAGTGTACGGTGTGGAAGTGCGGCTAAGATGGCGGTCCCCTGCTCCGCGCGGCCCCTGCCACTCGTGTTGCTCCTCCGTGTCAAATTAAATACATGCTGAGCCCGGCTGTATGTGTCTTTGTGGATGGTGGAGACAGTGAGATGACTTATTTACTTATGCCAAGGATGTGATTAACGCTTATTGCGGGGATGCAACGCTACGTTCGGACGCCCGTTGGGCTGGCCAAAAACGAATGGTGGTGCCAACTGCGCTGTGAAGGCAGAAGGGCAAAATGAAGTGAAGTACTCTCACCTTAATTGAGAACTTACAATCTGATTAAACGACGCAAAAGCGATAAAATGCGTTCTGAAGTGCGGCTAAGTGTTTTATTATAGAGTAGCTACTGCGGTTTTCGGAAACTCCGATTCGATCGTCAAATCAAAAACTGCAGTGTTTTAGTGCCATCGTGACCTTGAAAAAGAGCCAATCAGCATCACTCCATTGCGTAAACAATGGTAAACACAGAGACACAAACGAGGGGAAAATAGGTAAGGAAGGTGAGTTGCGTAGTTTGGTGTTTTGACTTGACATTATTAATTGAGAAATATCCATATAAATGAGCAAAGGAGTTTCGCATTTGGTGTGACCATTATGGGCTTTGATCTGATCTGTGAATGCTGGCCAACGTCTATGTCACTGTTTGTGGATGGTACCTATTGTTGATTGATGACCGCTGTCCTGATATTGATATCCAGGATTATATGCGATTTGTTTCTAGCACAAGTCTTCAGATTACAGGCCATGTCCGCAATGCTGCAATCAGTACTAAATTGGAGTCCGTTCTCCAAGAGGACACAGACAACTGAGCCACAGCCGACCACCCCGCCCCAGCAAGACGCCATAGCTGAGTCGATCTCGTCAGCCGAGTGTGCTCTGGTCAGCCTGCAGCGGATAGCTGTCTGGGAGAACCCGGCCAAAAGTCTGGCGGCGCTTATCGGCGCCAACATCGCGTGCTGGTGGGTTGGTTTGAATTAGAACGCCCTGGCTGTTGTTACACACAGAGAAGCTGTGAAATTTGTTTGAATTATCATTTAGTGATTTATGTTGCTTTGAATACTTGCTGCTTTGTTGTTTTCTTTTACTGTGTTCTGTCGTTTCTGCTCTTTCACACCTTTTGGTGCATTTAGGTACTGGTTGAAATATAATATAGCTTATGAAGGTGTACTTCACAGATCACTCATGTAAGACATGTGGCAGTCGATGTGGCAGTTAAGTCCAGTTACCGCCAAAGCAGCCATTCCACCCGCTCCTCCCTCCTGTCCCTCCGTAACCCCTCCCCTGTATCCCTCAGGGCGGTGTTTGCCTACCAGCTGCGGCCGGTGTACGTGATAGCGATGGCCGCCCTCCTCCGTCTGGTGCGGACCGAGTGGAACGAGAGGATCTGGCCCGAAATCCGCGTGCCGCCCAAGGTGCCGGAGGACACCGAGCCCTGGACGGACGTCAGCGAACGGTGAGCGATGGCCGCTGGCAACATTGCGAAATGGAGGATGAGACTGAATGACTTCGGAGATGATAGAAGGCTGCAGGAGAACAATGTGTGATATTTTATCAATGGGTGATTAGGGCTGACTTTGGCTAGTATGTCATGAGGTCTTTGAGCGAAGTCAAAGATGCATGTCAAGTAGGTAGGTAGTCTGGTATGTATCTCATATTTGGAAGTACCAGGCTACTTCTTCACCGTGTTTCCCGTTTCTGTCCTGTACCTACGTCCTACCCGGCTCTCTCACACGATCAGTGTCTGTGACAGTTCCTCCTATTTATGACCGTCAGGGTGCTGAGCGCCCCGGAGCTGATCCAGTACGTGAAGAGGTTCCGGGCCGCCGTGGCCTCCCTGGTCAGCTCGCTGACGGAACTGCGGGCCACCACTCCGTTCATGGTTAGTCTTAGTGTCCCTGTCCAGTGTCCATCACCTTCATCAGTGGTGACACTGACTAACGGGAAGTGGACTAGAAATGGTTAATGACAGCCTTTGCATTGTTGGGTACGTGTGTTGATAGGTTCGAAGCCGGCTTCCGATCGAAATCGCTTTTCGGGTCACAATAACGTACATAAATCCAATAAGTCATCAAGAGCATAATGTAGGGAGTAGGGACGTAGAAAAGCCACGTCACGTACGTAATCCTGGAATACTATATGCAATGATTCTTCCCTCGTTGTCGCTCGTTGTTCCAACCGTATATTCCCGTTCCCTGTGTGCGTCTGTGTTTCAGTTTTTCCTGGTGGTGAACTGCGGCTGGACGGCGCTGTACGTGCTGAGCCGGTGTCTGTCGGCCGCCCTGCTCTGCCACCTGCTGCTCTCGCTGGCCCTGACCGTGCCCGGGGCGCTGCTCCACCTGGTGCCCGACTCGGCCTGGCGCCGGCTCCAGCAGCTGGTCAGCGACGGACGACGCTCCGTGGCCAACTCCGGTACGGAAGGGTAATGGCGTGTGTATGTGGGGGGGGGGGGCAATAACTAACTGGTACGAATGGTCGGGAAAACAGCAGCGTGTGAGTTCGAACGGTCACGGAGTACGCAAGAAGTTAGATGGGGTTACAAGCTGCAACCCATTTACAGGTTATCTCTTAATCAGCAATTTCGCAAACATCTGAGGAAGTCCCTATTGATTAATGTAACCAGACTACATACGCCACTATCGCCCTCCCGTTTTCGGTGACGGCGCTTACTATCCTTTCCGCCTCAGGTCTCATCCAGGATGAGGACTGCGAGCGGGACTTTATACCGGAGGCGTCGCCTGAGACGCAGGCCTACCTTGACGCTATGGCAGACATGATCAATGGCCGTGAGCCGTCGCCAGGTGGGTAGATTGTGAAAGGGAGTATTGGTCGTCGTGAGTGGTCAGTGGTCATACATCGATTGAGAATACTGGCATGCGCTGCTCGAGACATTTTTGCTGGTGATATGGTTTCAACTTTCATCCTCCAAGTTTTCTATCGGCATTAGAATTATGAGTATGTTCAGCATGGCGAGTTCCAGCGATGTTCGCTGGCTATTTTCATATACACTTCTCTCTCTGTGCAGCAGTCCCCTATGTGGTCCCTTCCGTAGCAGTCCTCTCTGACCCGTCCTCCCCTCCCTCCAGACCGTAACACGGTAGCCACCTTCTCATCTGGCCTGGACGCGGCGCCCGGCTACGACGAGGAGAGCGAGGACGACCTCCTGGCCCCGTCGGCGGCCGGACACGACGAACTCGACCTGGCCGCGGTCCCCGCCACCTCCTCCGCTACTGCCTCGGCCGCCGCAGCCGCCGCCGCCTCGGCCGGCCTCCAGATGCTGACCTCAGCGGCTGCGGTGATGGGAGCGGCGTCTCGCGCGGCCGGAGAGTTAGCTACCGGAGCCAGTGGCAGGCAGGCCGCGCTGCCGCAGGCCACTGAGGACTCTGATTCAGAGTTTGAGCTCATTGGGGATGAGGAGGCTATGGATGCGACGCATCACTAGGAGGGGGATAGCGGTGAGGTTGGGATGGAGCTGGTGTGGTGGATAGGGACGCGACGGGCGGGAGTGGTGGACCACTGATCTATGACATGGCAGTGGTTCAAGTGTGTCGACGGCTTTGCGAGCTGTGTATGCGCGTATGCGTGTCAATATTTGGATTCAGAAAAGTCGTTTGCTTGTCGGCGATTCTTGCCTTCGAGCAGGGTATGGTGACATTTTCTTTCAGTGCCACCTGACAGCTGTCATAGCCTTCATGGAAATAGAACGTAAAGTGGTCTCTGAGGCGAATAATGATAGGGATGTCGGCCGACACCTGTAACTTGTGGAGTCCGGTTTGGGGTGTACCAGGGAACTAACGCGATGGAAACCAGAGTGCTGAGTTAAGGCTTGTGATTGTGGACTTGTGCCGTCGGACAACATTGTAGTACGAGTATTTAGTTGGTTACCGGTAGTGCTTACTACCGATTAACTTAGTTGTGTATAGTTTTCATAGGATAGACTTTACAGGAACTTGTAGTGCTTTACTTGATTATGTGTGCCGTTGAAACTTCGCGTTAATGTGGGTAGATAACCTGCTCGGCGAAATGACTGCGCTCGTGGCGGTATGTGATAGTGCTGACTTTTATGTGCGCTAATCCATTCAGTATCGAACCGGTATTGTATGCTTGGTATTATGTCGTAGGATATTGATGACAATAAGGTCTGGTGTAATACCAAAGCGGTCATCCTCTGGTAACAATTGTAAGAGTAGAAAGTTGATATTTTTGTGTGGCTCGTGTGCTGTGAACTACAATATAATTTACAACTTAAGTCTTGGCATTACACCTGCTTGTGAAGAACGTTTTCCCTGAGCTGTTTTTTTTTAACTAAAAACAATGACTCTTTCGCAGCGCATAATCTTATAGCCACTTACCATGTAATTGCAATCCACATAATACAACAAAGTCGCTGATCCGTAACTGGAAAGGCACAGTAAATTACTGGTCGAACAGTGCATCCCCCATAAACCATGGTCATCTTCGAATCGAAGTCTTCCCCACGGACAGACTCCAAGCATTTAACTCTTATTTGAAACTCATTAGTTATCCTCGACAGCCGTAGTAACCTGCCCCTCCACGCCTGCTAAGAGGAGCCGCAGCCCTTTTTAGTTCACCTCTTATTCCTTCAGTTCATTAGCTCATCCTTCCCACACCCATCGGCCATCCCATAAACACGGTTTCCGGATTGGGCCCTTCAGCCAGCTCGTAGCCGTGTATTCAGCAAAATCGGGCGCAGGTGACAGTGGCGGCCGAGCATGCGCCGCCGTCGTCAAATCATAGCGATCCACCCGTCCGCTTACAGTGATTATCGGTCCAACTTGGCATCAATCTCAGAGGTAAAATATAAATATTGACACCAGCGATATGGGTAAAAACAATGCTGTTTGAGACCGGGCGACCCTCCTGGCCCGCCACAATGAGCAAACGTTCGCCTGTCGCAGGCCCAGCCACTCGAGATCCACGGATACGGCCTCGCCCCCAGGAGGGCGGCGTATGGCAAAATCTCCCGTAAATAAGTAAACGGTCGGCGTGACGACGACCCCACGGGGGCCGTCCGGGCAACACACCCGACGGAGGACCCCTGGAATCGACCGCCCGCGCGACCACAACCTTACAAACTAAACACCCGTTGTTGTGCACACATCTGATGCGATATGCTTGTTTGTGATATGACTTCCGCTTACGCAAGGCGCCCGCCCCCTACCCTCCTGTCCCCGCCAGGCTGGCGCACCCGAGATCCCGTCTCCTCCTCAGTCTCACCTCGGGCACGCTTTGAGTCGGCGCCACGCGCAGTCATTCGGCGGCGGCTGCCAAGAGGCACGCCATTCACGCGCACTTGGTGGGACACCTACAGCACTATACAAACCGCACTATATACACTCCCGCTGCAGCAGCGCACGTAAGAGAAGCAACCCATCGCGTCAAAGGACGCGCCGTAAGACACGGATAGTTCCCAAGGCAAGGCAGCCGCCGACGCCGGCGGCGGAATATACAAGTGAGCGTTCGCAGAGAAGCCGTCTGCGTCCGGTGGATAGTGTAAGACCATGGTGTAAGACCACTTGGTAAGGCACTACAGATATAGAACACTCAGTAAGGCACTACAGATATACAGGGGAAAATACAGGCACCGCGCACCCCGCTGAACCACTTATGATCGAGGAGGTAACTTTGTGACAGCCACGCTGGCCACATTGTCCCGCACTTACGCCGACCCAGTACAATACACGCAACTTAACTAAGCAGAGATCCAGAAGTTTTCACACTTGCGAGATCTGTCTCGAGTCCAATGAACGAGGTACACAATCCCGCATCAACTGCCGTCACAGGAGACATTACAGCCCCCGTAGGATGGCGACATGACATCCCAATCGGCCTCCACTCCGTCATCAATCAAATCAACTTCATCATCAACGCGTTCATGATCTGACCAGCTCAATTCCGCATACTTTGAGTCAACTCCGCCATCCAAATATCCACGCCAAAAGGAACTAAAAACGTGCGTTTGCATCCAAACGTCGCGTATAAAACTAACCTAAAACAAAGTGAGCTAGTTGTCAAAGATCGCTGGTCTGTCTGCCTCACGCAGAGCTCGTGATACGACTTAGAATCGACCGGTGGGACTGAATGCTGCGCCTACTCACGCGTCTGCTACGGCGGGCGTCAGGCCGTTGTCGTTGGTCGCCGCTGGAACATGGTCGGCGAGCGGCGCGGCGTGGGCGGGAGCGGGGGCGGCAGCGTCGGCGGGCGGCGGCGGCGGCGACTCGGCCAGGAGTCGGCCCATCAGCTGTCCGTGAGACATGGCCTCAGAGACGGCCGCCACCCCCATCTGCTCCATGTATTTGAGTATTTGGCGCAGCTCTGACTGCTTCATGTGCACGCCGTGCTTGTTACGCAGGTGGGCGTTGAGGTTAGTGACGCGCGAGCACAGCTTGCGGCACACCCAGCACTGGATGCTCAGCTTGTGCGACTCAAAGTGCTGCCGGAACGTCATCAGATTGGCGTACGTGCGCGAGCAGACGCGGCACACGAACTTCTTCTCTACTGAAAACAGTGGGCGGATGGTCAGAGCCGGGCGAAACAGGTAGCGGCTGTCTTACGAGCATTTAGTCATGCTTTCAAAACAATATCCTCGATTTGCTGACGATGAGAGAAACCCCAGAGAATTGCTCAATATTTGCTCAATTGCCCGGGCAAAAAAAAGCTACGAAACACTCATGAAAATTGGCGAAAATAGCAAACAGCAAGACAAAACCAATGAATAGCGTCAGCTAAAAAAAGAATATCTGACTCAATTGGCACTGATGCCGCGCAGCAGTATGTACTGACCGAGTCCGGAGCTCCCTTGGATGTCCATCAGCTCGGTCAGCGAGTCATCACCGTTGGCCTCAAACGACTCCACTGCAGAACAAGGAGGCGCACCAATAGGGTTAGACAAACGGGGGGTGAGCCACGCCAGACAGATGAAAGTGGGGATTGGGGCTTCAAGGTGCAGTAACAGTGGAGACGTTATGAAAATAGATGTTGGAATGCCGAAGCAAGAAATCGAATGTTGCATAAAAATGCAGTAAAAACGACTCACTGACACAGCACGAGAGTTGGACTAGATGAGGCATAATTTCCATGAAGATACATGGTGACAAGCTATCATCATTACCCGTATCCGACGCACAGTTCCCTTCCGATCCACCGCAGTTCAGTACCAAGCCGTCAGTGATGACTGTCACCTACCACCACCCGCAAATGCCCGACTCTGAGCGGCGGTCTCACCCCTACCAGTCTGAGCAGCGGCCTCACCTCCGTTACGGCGATGGTGTCCCGTGTGGGCTGCGTCTCCGTGGCCCGTCTCCTCGTCATCCTCACTGACAGTCTCCTCCGCAGCATCCGACTCCGTGAGCAGCGGCAGCGGCCCGGCAACCGGGACAGCCGGCTGCGGCTGCGGCGGCGGGGGCGGGGGCGGCAGCGGTGCCGGCGCCACGGGAGCCACCGGTGGCGGCGGCGGCGGCGGCGGCAGCGGGGGCATCGACAGGTCCATCAGGGTGCCGGCAGCGGCCGCCGACGGCGAGGACGGACGCCGGCGACGCTTGGCCGGCGGGGACGGGGCCGGCGAGCGGACGGCCGCGCCGGCGCCGCCGTGATCCGGCGACGGCGGGCACGAGGTCGTACTGAGATCGGTCGCCTCCAGCTGTAAAACGGGGACGGGGCGGTTAGAGGGGCAATGGTAACCGGAGATCAGGGGAAATGACCTAGCAGCGGCCCAGTTCGGAGAGGATCAGCACAGCGAGGCGGAGGAAGCGTTTTGAAGAAGCAGTCAACCGCAGCTTAAGTGTTGGACGAGCACAGCACGAGGTTTGAGCGAGAACAGGACGATGCGTTTCGATTAAAATGGCATCAAGTGATACATTCTGTGAACAGATGTTCTTCCACATAAGTATCGGTTGTCTGTAAATAAAATGTTCGCACTGAAGTTATATGTCGGCAATTTTATCATCACACAAATGAAAGATGATACCTGATGCTCCAATATGATAGGTACCGAATCATTGTAAGCTATAACCTAAGCTAGCACATATCACGCGGATGCTAGTTCCTAGAACCCCACAAGAGTCTGTAGCGCTCTAGCTAGTTACATACCTGGTGATCAGCCTGCTCCACGCAGGCATCCTTCGCCAACCCTTTGATTTTGAGCATTTCAGCCACAGCCAAAAATGAGGTAAATCTGGTCTGGTCCACATTCACTTGACCACTGTAGATGAATTCAATTATTGCTACGAGATCATCGAACTCGGCGTCTTTAAAAAAGAAGACAGGATCTCCAGGATGTTGCTGAAAAAAGAAAAATAGCATTAGTATCTTGAGGAAACAAAACCAAACACACATTTTGCTATGCGAAAGAACTATTAATTCAAAGTTCTGCTGCCGGCAGCACATTCACAATATGTCTGCCCTCTGGCAGCATATTTGGAATTTGGACAGACGCTTACGAGCTAAGTGCGGATTCACGAATACCAATCTGTTGCTGGATTGTCTAATCACACTGAAACTCTCATCACCAACCGTTACCACACGCGACCTTCCACCGCGCACCGCGCGCTGCGTCCCGAGTACACGACTCACCTTGAGCACCTCTCGGAAGTAGGGGCTGCAGGCGGAGAGGACGAGCCGGTGGGCGCGCAGCTGCCGGCCCTGGCAGCACAGCGTCACGTCCACCAGCTCGTGCATCTGACGTAGCGTGTCCAGCAGCGACGTCAGGCTGCTGTGGTAGTTGTTCCATTTGAGGCAGAACCTCTGGCCCTCCTGCAGCATCTCCGCCTGCCAAACACAGAGGGTCATGCAACTGAAAGACAGTTTTCTTAGCTTTAAGGAATCAACGGGCCAATGATGAATCATTTACGATATCCTTCATTTCCTTCTACTGGTTTATAAATCAATATTACTTTCTGCTGATTTCTTTATCCCTGTTTCAAATATCTCTGATGCAACCACATTGTACTTTGTCTCATCCATTGCTGATAGCAGTAGACTGGGGTACAGTGAGTGTCACTATTCTCAGTCAAGTCTTGAATGCAGAGTTGGACAATTTTTACTGCTTTTGTTGGTAGGAATCACTTATCTAGTGTGTGAGTGGGGGGGGGGGGGGGAGAGGAGAAAAGGGTGGTCATTGGTTGGGTTAATTACCCCTGTGCAAAATGGATTTCTATAGTGTAGTACAACAGTGATTTTGTATGGAGCAGCATGGGCCACACTTGATGTGGTGCTGAGCTAAGACACTTATGTGACAGTTTTTCCTACAATAATTAAGGATCGGGGATTGCTGACTTGCTCAGTGATCATAAAGCACCTTCCCTACAATTCCACATCTCTATATCAAGCATGAATTCCCATTTGTAGTGCAAAATTTTGGTTTCAGTGAAAACTGAAATGGAATAACGACCTAATTATTATGGGCTGGTGCATATTTGTCCTTTCAGAAGGTATGGTTTATCTTTTATGAAACCTGCCAGGCATAGACACTCTGAAGTTGCACCCTTTGCCTAAGTCTTCTGATGCCACTCTGGAGTAGATATGCTAATAGACATCTACATACACTTCACAGCAATGGCTGTCACCTGCTGTAAGTAGAGCTTTAATGAATCTGCTGCCAATAGCAGCACATTCAGGGACAGTGGGTGTGGGACACTGGAGTAGTAAATGTTTGTCTGATAGCAGTGTCAAGTGTGTTGATCAGATCAATTTGTTATATTCAAACTTTTAGGGGCTAGAATTATGTTTATACTCTGAAGCAAAACATATATTTAAGCTTTTTAGAGACTAGAAATCATATTTATGCTCTGAAGTAGAACAACATGAGAATTGATGTGCAGTTATATGTGACACAAGAGACAGATAGCATGTCTCTTCCATGACCATCAGCAAAAGTGCAGTCAGATATCATCGCACCTTTTGATGTGTCCAGTGTCCCTATATTTAGACAGCTGCAAAATAGCAAAGGACCATGCTAGATCAAGGTCCTATATAAAACTATGCTGACATCAGCTCTGCCAGCTACATTAGTATGCTCATTCACATCAAGAATGCTAACTGTTTGAATATGCTATTCAAGGGTAAAGCATACATGCATAGTGAAAGTTTGGGTGGTTGCACTGTTGGATTGTTCCAGTCAGCCATAAGGCCCAGCTTTTCCTTACTCCCTGGGCACTGTAAACTGTAAAGGAAGTGTCACAGCTTTTACTGACATGCTGCTTGTCTTCCCATATTTTGAAGTTAACTGCTTGATCAATGCACACACCATCATACAATGTGAAGTTTACTCATGTTAAGATGAAAGATGCCAGCAAGATAGCAGCATATTGAAACTAAATGGCAACCGAACAGTGAACACTGAACAGTGCCCTGATCGGGTCCCGCAACTGCCACCCCCCCCCCCCCATCCATGCTTGAAAAAAAACACTAAATCTAATATATTGATATTGTAGTCAGGAGTTAAAACAACTCTTTGAAACATATATCATTCACATAGTAGCAATATTATTGCATTTAAATCAGCTAGATCTTGCAATTAACGGTCGGGCAGCGATGGCCACATGCTCGCGATTGCGCAATGCTGATGCAGCGGGACCGTCTTACGGAATAATTATCATTCACCATGCAACATACCTGCTTTTGAGATCACGATGAAAATACGAGAAGCAGGAAGTAAAATTTTATAGGAACGTGGTCAAACTAAGAAAGTTTCCTAAAAACCCGGCCCAGTCCACCTCAGTCCCCAGCCACGAGCCACGCAGGAAATGTGGAATCAGTTTCTCACACACAGAGAACAACGAACGCCGGTTTCGCCGCTATTCTGTCTTGTGACGAACGTAACGCGATAAGAGTTGCCACTAGCAAATCATAGCACTGCTTTGAAACTGGAAGATTTTTATTTAATGTTGAAAACTTTGGAAATATGTTTGTTCGAAGCTCTAACTTTCGCTTTTTTATTACATTCTGCGACAATGTTTTATTTTTAAAGTGAAAGAATCGTATGATAGACAAACACCTACATAAGTAGCATTGATTCTCATAAACTGCCATCCATGCTTTGTTTAGCATTCTTGCGCCAGCGCTTATATATGATTCTTACGATATTTGCTGAAGTTAGTTGCTTATATGCATCGCTCATCAGATATATTACATTTTTTGGTGTTCGCTCATTTTCAACATATTTCGATAGCTCTAAAAATGGCAATTGAATCTTTGCACAGTTCGTTTGCAGTGTTTTAACTTCCTCCAGCTGGCATGCAGAGAAAATCTACAAATATGACGCTCAAGAAACGATTCTGAAATAATGAAATTTGTGAAATTTGCTTGTAGTGGGCGGGTCACTTTGTGAGTACGGCATTGTTTGTGAGTGGAGTTCTCCGTGGTGAGTGGGTTGTCTGGTGGTCGGGGTATCCGTCTGTCCTGGTCTGTCCGCATAAATCGAAATCAATCGACCGGTCATCCCCGCGGGTGGAGGCGTCAGGCCCGACAAGTGGTGTTTCGAGGGCAAGTTGAAGAAGCACACCATTCAATTCACAGTGAATTGTTTCACTCATTATCTTCAACGGAATCGATATTTACTTACTCTGACTCTTGCTAAATTTATCTGTGTTGGCAAACTTGTTCAGAGGCGGATCCAGCTCAGAGTTTCGGGGGGAGGGGGCAAACCATAATAATTTGTTGATTCTTTCCATGCATCGTCCATAGGCATAATGTTAAAATTATGCCGTTTGGGGGGGGGCAACCGCAAATGCTCATTTTGCCCCCCCTGGATCCGCCTCTGAACTTGTTAACATGCTGATGACAGCTGCTTATTTTTCCAATATGTCATCCTTCACTTAATTTTACACTGCTATCCTTCATTCCAGTTCTTTGTATTTTTGCTGTTACTGTCCCACACCATTTGCATTTGCATGAGCCATGAAGTGAAGCAATTGTTATTAATGTTTGCTGACAGTCACCCAGTCAATTGTCATAACAGCTGGTTGACCAGCTCAGGCAGTGATCAGTTGACACTAAATCACTAGATCAGCTGCTTGATATGCTTTTTGGTATTGAAATGCAATAATTCAAAGCAAACTATGATCATTTCCAGAGTTAAATCATTATGAACAAACCTGCTTTATGTGGAAAGGCATACCTTATCTTGGTCATACATATATTTATTTGTACTGCTTTTTCAGATTATTTGTTTTTTTCTCTGTGGGTAGGCTAGACAGGTACTAGTTGCCTACTGATATGTAATGTTCAGTACATTACCTAAGTATGATCAAAATATATATTAAATGACTGATCATGATGATTGCAACTGACTACAGAGTATTGCAATAGCTTGATTTTAGTTAGAAAGAATCATGCAAAATTTCTGGAATGTTGATGACTGTAATACTGTTTTAACATTGTATGCTTCTGCTCAGTTGAAAAAAGCATGTCATGATATGTTATTTCTTACTGCTGATTACTCTCTTCTTAAGCTTTTCCCATCCTAACTCTCAAATGACATTGGCTAATATTTTAAACATGTCCTTTTAGGTACATCTGGAAAAGCTTGACTGGGTGGTTACTAAGCAGCCCAGTGTGTGTTTTTGCCGTCTGTCTCGCGGATCCGTCGGCTGCCCTCACAAAAACGCTGGGAAGGTCGCGACACCCTGACGTCTGGCGCTCGGTGGCCATGGCAGCAGGAGCCGGTTCGGTCGCCGAGCTCCTGGTGTCACGCTGTTTACGCCAATGGAGACTATAATGAGACGCTCCGACTGCTGACATGGCTGACTCGTACCCCGTCCGACCGGGGGTTCCAGTCACTCCACCTCGGTGGTGCCACCCGTGCACGTCGCATGATTCGCGGTCGGCCCGACAGATGGTAGCGCGCTTTCCCGCTGCTGCATTGTTTATTATTTCTCTCCGCCCGGACCTGTCCGCCGGGTGGTGAGTCGGTGATCTCAGCGGGCCGCCTCTCCCGTGCGGCAGAGCGTCACTGACGGCTCCACCTGACCCCAGGCGGCGTGTGACCTGCGACACGAGATGGACGGGGGCATCGGCCGGAGTTTGGCGGCGGCGGCGGCCGCCTCGACACCGTACTCGCATCGGCCCTGGATGGCGCGGGTCGGAGCCGCCGCGCCCGCCGGCGAGAAAAAGGGACTCAAAGGAATCGTCGCAGGTACGGATCACGGCCCCCAGCTCGTACTTAAATGGTCGAGCTGAGGTAATTTTTGTTGAATTGGCTGTGCGATTGGTCGAATTATCACTACACAAAATTTAAACACTGTCGTAGACAGCTGAACGGCGTTCGACATTCATCTATCGGTTCCAGCTTGTTCTTCCTTCACAAAAAAATCGCTAGCATATTTATTGCTGTTCTATTATGTATATGTCCTAATCTTCAGGTAAGAATTATCAAAATTACCTACAACATGCTCATTTTATTTCGCGAATGTGCTCTTCTTATATCCGCCTCTCCCGGCGCGGTAGGCGGCATCACGGGTGGCATCGAGATCTGCATCACCTTCCCCACCGAATACGTCAAGACGCAGCTGCAGCTGGACCAGAAGACAGCAGGCCGCGCCGGAGGCACCAAAATGTACAACGGCATCATCGACTGTGCCGTCAAGACGGTCAAAACGAACGGCTTCTTCGGCCTGTACCGCGGCCTCAGTGTGCTGCTCTACGGATCGATCCCCAAGTCAGCCGTGAGGTGAGTGCCGATTGGTTGGCGGCGGCGTAGGAGGAGATGTCTCCCCTCCCCTCTCCTCCCCTCCCCGCCCTGGCGCCGGTCTGCACACGGGCGTGGGTGGCGCATTGTATCCCTCCTTATCCCGGGTGAAATAAATGGGGTGTTTTATGTATCAAGGGTTGCTACTGCCGTTGCGATAGTTCGACCGGCTGCGGCTGGCGTGATGGTGTCGGGACGTGAGAGCTGAAAGCTAACCATGCTGGCTGGATTACTGGATGGGGGGGGGAGGCGATGGTGAAATTGGGTACCGCGTTAGTGGAACGGCAGACTGGTTTTGGCTAAGTAAGTTTTGCAAGTTTTGACTTTTAACGTTTTGGCCAAAGTTTACCGTTTCTTTCTTTTGAAGCTACTTTAAAGTTTAATATGTTTATGGTTTTCCAGTATTACTTTAGTTTAGTTTTGTAAAGGGCGAAATGCAGCTCTGGAAATGACAGACTTACCCCGCGTTCGATGTCTCCCGGACGGCGAAGATTCTACGCTGTCCGGACAATCACGTTCCATAACCGCAGCCGAGCCCCCGCTGACCTTGGACGGGATTGGCTGGACGACGTAGAATCTTCGTCGTCCGAGAGACATCGAACGCGGGGTTAGTTTGAGGGGTGAATGAAATTACCTTAAGATGTCATTAACGTTACGTCAACTATGCTGTGTCAATTTCTACAGTGGTTACTGGTTATCCCTTTCATCCCTTTACCGAACCCGTAAATGAATGTCTATTTCTTCATTCTTAATTTTCGCCTAACCCTTTGGCGTTCTGTATTCCCTACATGTTTATACCAACTGCGGTGTTTGTCCTATCCAAGGGTGCATGTATGCGTGTCTGTGCGCCTGTACTCGGTTTTGTTTACACTTCGTCTAATGGACCTCACGGCCGGCCCCTTTCCATTATCAGCACATTGTCACAGGCTCACAACACTGCCGAACAGTCGACGGCGCTTCATGTTGTTATTCGTCCGTGCCAGTCCCTCTCCGTTCCTTGTCCCGATACCAAGATCATGGATAAGAACAATGCCACCCATAATAGAATTACATCTGGCGTGTATGCCGGTGTAAAGTCAGGTCATTGCCAGTAGAACTAGTTTGATTGGTAGTTTGATTATTTTACGACGCATCCGTCATTGACTATTGCCGTCGGTGTCTGACCGGTATGTCCTCGTATGTCCCTTATACCGATCCGATTCCTGTGCTCCTGCCTTTCACCTGTCCTCTCCCCTACAGACCGTGGCCGCTGCCCCTCCGCCGTACCGAGAACCGCCTCTGACCGGGAGCCCGAGGCGATTCAGGCGATCCTGGCACCGAGCCAACTCGGGTAATGACGCTATCGAATGGCCCCTCCTGTGAACGGCTGGCCGGCGGGGGCTGGGCGGGGGCGGCACAGCTGGGTAGGGAGGAGAGGGGGAGGTAAAACTGCTCAGTGCTCACTGCTCAGGCGCTTTCCGATCAGCTGCACAGAGGCGAGGTCGGGACGGGGCGGGGCGGGGGAGGGGATCGGTGACTTTCTCCACATCTTGCCGGTCGGGGATTTCGCCTGCCACCCCACCACTGCAACTGCATTTGCGGAAAGCCCACCACGGCCATGTGTGACAAGCTGTTCTTATCTATGGCCTCAGCATGGGACAGCATAGGTTCAAATGAAGCCCACCTGCCTGGGCTTACATCATCACCAGTATTATCGCAGCCGTTTGATTTAGTCGTTATGTTTAGCCGATGTGCACGACGTTTGGTGTGATTCTACTCAAGATGCATTTGCTTCCATATTCCACTCTACCGAAGGCAAAATTATTTCTGAGAAGCATACAAATCCCGCAGATATTTTTCATTTAACGCTCAACCTCCGTCTATGTATGGCTCAAGCCGCGCTCGTACTTTCCGACGGCACCGCGTGCCCCTCGGACTCTTCCGGCGTGGTCGGTCTGCTGTGCCTCCCCCCCCCCCCATCCTCACATGTAGCGGCTCCACCCTCCCCTCACACGGCAGTGGGCTGACGGACCGGCTTCGTCCGGCGAAAGCCGCCTTACTGGGCCGTGTGACGTCACGGGCCGGCGCCGGGCCATGAACCGAGCGGTGCTACTTGCGTCGAGGGGCTCGTCCTTATGTCAGCACATGGGCTGCTCAGATAACGGTTGCTCTCCTCATGAGTGATTGATGGGGGGGAGAGGGGTGCTCCACGCCCCACCACGGGGAGGGAGTGGGTACAATCGATGCGAACCGGATGTCTATCGTGAATCGAAGAGTATACGTAGGAGTCAAAGTGAAGTAATGCGCTATTGATCCACTTGATACTTGATTGATGTTTGCTGCAATCGTATGTTTGTTTACCTTTACACAGTTTGCTTCTGTAATGGATTTTGAAGTGGTCGCACACGTTTGGTTTGCACAGCGTGAACTACCAACCTCCATTCATTGATATGTGGTAAATACATATCATAAGCAGGCAGGCAGCATAGTAGGTTTGCTCGTGGTGCTTACCATGCATTACCAGCTAGCTATTTTAGGCTGCTTGCTAGTTGCTACTAGTGTTGATGCCAGTGGTAAATACAGTGGTATTTCGCACCCTCGGAGCCGGTGGCGTTATACGCCAGCCCGATTCCGACAAAGCCGTTTTGTCGGAAGCGAGTTTTCTTCATCCGTAAATCTAACATTTCGCTCATATGTGTCTTGCCTTCGCCACGGAGGCTGATTAGTATGGAATGCTTAAGGAATAGAATGTTCTGGCAGTTCGCACTATCCAGCTAGCTGGATAGTGCCAACTACTGCTGCACTGTGTGGGGAGGATGTACTGCCTCCCAAAAGCACCGTATCCAGAAGGCGATCAACTTCGCGGCACGCGTCGTCACGGGACTGGCCCGACGGCAGCACGTCACTCCTGCTCTGCAGGCGCTTGGATGGCAGCGTTTCGAGGGCATGCTTGAGAAACGGGATGTGGCTCTTATACAAAGGCTGGTCTCGCTTGACGGCGCGCCGCCTGCACTGGCCCAAGTTGTACAGCGTCGCTCGGACGTGTCACAGAGACACACCCACTGTGTCGGCAGCGGATGAAAAACCATGTATTTTAGATGTCTTTTATTTCTTTTGGTGTTTAGTGTTTCGCTATTGCGTTGATTTTAGCCTTTTATGTACGTACTGCGTAATGATTCACGTGTTTGTCAGCGAATTTTAATACTTGTATGTACACGACGAGAGGGCTGAAAAGCCATTTAAATGGAGACCTCAATACACTGGATTTGGATTTGGATTTAGCTACTATATGTGGTACGGGGACCCGCAGTTGCTACTGTACAGCGACCCTGAGTAAAATGTCCCAGCACCCTCACAGGGAACAACGATAAGCTGTCAGACGGCACGCACAGACAACCTCAGCTGCTCTTGTACAGTCTGTCTTAAAAGTACCGCGCAAAGTGACGGTGGATCCATCAAGCCTGACCGAGAAAGGGCCTGTTTTAATTTAAAAGTCACCGACCAATTGACCTAGGGAATGGACAAGGATGTCAATTGCTTCGGTGACCCAAATTTAGCAGGCCCTTGCTCAGTCAGGCTCGATGGATCCACCGTCACTTTGCGCGGTACTTTTAAGACAGACTGTACAGGGACCAGCAGTCGATATCAATGTTATCGGTTGTTACTGGACAGGACAGATGGTAAGACTTGGGGTTCATGTACTATTGAGCGCAGAATCCGCGCTCATACCGGGACCGAGGCTGGGCCACGGCGGGGCAGGCCTGGTGTGTCAGAGAGTGTACCGATTAGTGTGATGCGGCACAGTATCCTATGAGGGTCACGGAATGACATGACCTGGCTGTTTCTGTTCCGAGTGGGGCGGAAAGCCGGGGAAGGAGAGCCGCAGTATGCGGCCGCAGCCCGCGTGGAGTGTGTGCGGCTAGACGTCAACGTGAGCGTGATGGCACACCTCAGTGGTCTTGACAAGGGCAGGCTCATCTTGCTTTTCGATCAAGGTCACTCTGTCAAGCAGGCGGCAGAGATTCTCGGTGTAGCTCTAACTACTCCCAGACGGTGGAAACACCGTTATGAGCAGGAAGGGGAAAGGGGTTTGAAAGCGCGCTATGATAAGTGTGGAAGAAAACGGAGGACGACGGAGGAGGAAGACAGGCGCATGGTGGAGGTTCGTACTTTTCTTTTATTATTTGTTGCTGTTGTCTTTGCATTTCTAGGTCAAGACGAGCGTGTAGTATCAGATGACTAATCGGGCCAGCATAATGATAATATCGGGCCATAATGACTAATCGGACCGGCATATAATGATAATATGTCGATTAAACAGCATGTCTAATTGATTAAACGTGTCAAACTATTTAATGAGGTTAGTGCTTGTACGAGGAACATGTTTATAAATAGAAAATGTAAAAACCTGACCTTTTTTCCTCGATAATTACCAAAACTAATGCTGTACAAATATATACTTTACTTGACAGAATGTAATATTTATTTCGACCACAGGTCTTTTTCAAACATTTTCAAATTAGAAAAGTGTCAATCTATTTACTTCAAGATAGGATTGATAATAATAGCGAGTAATTTTTTTCGGATCTCGCTTAATGTCGAAAGAGCCACAGCTCAAACATTTTATGTTCATGTTGAATGCTTGTAAAGTTTGTGAGACAAAATCAGAGCACATAAAAAATTGAACAACTGAACAATGGTTGGCGGTTTCCTGCCCTCTGGGTGTCTAAAGAGACAAAACCTATAAAGATAAACGTTTTATGGTCTTTGTGTAACAGGTCAAATGCCAGTAAACGTTCGATTGCACAAGTCATGTAGATATCGTTTTTGCCCAGCACGCCGTCTTCCCCGCACTCTTGCAAACGGTTCCATGTCAATTCCACCAGTGGCATTTCAAGCAGGTCAAACCAGTGACAACTACTCAACCAGTGACATTTCAACCAGTGACAACTCAACCAGTGACATCTGAACCAGTGACAACTGAACCAGTGACAACTGAACCA